TCCTGCCTCTAACCCAATGGAAACTGTAAGTAAACCCCTTTAGATTTAAAACAAATTCTAGCTTTTAAAAATATTTAATTTCTATTCAAATTCATAATCTATACGTATTTTATAGATTCAATTTAATTTCTATTATAAGATACCACATATACAATATTATTATTCATTATTAATATTCCTAATATTTATACTTTATATATTAAATTTTAGATATTATATGTTTTTAAGTTTATATTTTTTAGTATTATTTAAAAGCCCTACCTCTAACCAAAGAGAAACTTTATTTTAAACTATATTTAAATATATTTTTCTATTTATAGTTTTCATATTGATATCTGTACCTCATATTCATATATCTATATTATGTATATTATATATTAAAATATACTATAATAGATATTAAATACTATATAAATACCTATATTTATTTATATTTTATATCTATTTATACTTATATTTAGATATGCATGTATGTTTATAATTTTATGTCTGTATATATTTATTGTGTATTTGTATACTTTTTTACATATATATATTTATCTTTTTATCTTTTCATTTTTCTATTCTTTATAGAATTATTTTCTCCTGATCATGCAGAAACAACCTGCCACCACTTAGAAACCTGGCTGCAGTCTGAATGCCAAAATCCTCCTCCAAACTGATCCCAGGAACCTTGGAAAGGTGAATTTTGTTTCCCAGGGAAAAGGGACAGAGTTTGTGTCCAGGGACCTGGGCACCCATCCAGATTTCTCCCTGCTAAAAATTCCAAATGGGCGGGGATTGCTGCCCCCACCTTGAACCCTGGCTGCCTTTGGAGCCTCCTCCAGAAAATTTGGGCAGTGACTTTTTATTTTTTAGAGGCAAAAAAGGGGCACTGTTGGTGTCTGCCTGCTCAAATTCCTGTTCAACCTCCCCATGGGTTTTACAGAGAATGACAGACTCTGCCCTTAAATCTTTATTTTTAACATTTATTCTACAGCTGAATAGTTCAGGTTAACAGGGATTAGACTGAGTTCTTGGACCCAGCATAGGTTTTGTTCCACAAAGACCCAACAGAACTTCCTGAGATTACACACGGGACACCTGAGCAGGATTTTGTGCAGCAGAACTCGTGAGTGTGGAGGGGAACTGAGAGCTGCTCAGCTCCTGGAGCAATGGGCTGCTGGACAGAGGTGCCACCCACCAAAAACGAGCAGCAGGGCCCGTGATGAGAGAAGAGGAGAGGAGGAGGAGGAGGTGTGACACAACTGCTGCTTTATCCTCCTCAGCAGCACGAGCACTGTGGGAAGGGGCAGCTGGTTCCTGTCTCCATCCATGTCCTTGTCCTTGTCCTTGTCCCTGTCCCCTCAGGGCCTCTTCATGGTGCTCTCGATGAACGACTCCAGCACAAAGATGGTCTCATCCACCTGATTCTCACTGGCATCAATCCTGGGGGGGGGGACAGAGAGTGATGAGCAGCCCCCCACAGGCTCCCCAAGCCCCTTCTCCATCCCCCCTTTCCATCCCCCCCAGCCCCCTCACTTGTTGACGTTGCGTTTGAGGTTTTCGAGCTGCTGCCGCTCGGGACCTGTGATCATCTCCTCCACCTCGTGCAGCTGAGCTGCCTCAGCCCCCGTGGCCTGCATGGAGGCCAGAATGGCCTCCACACGCTGGGATTTCTCTAGGAGTCTCCTAGGAGGGGAACAGGGACACGTGGGTGTGGCAGTGGTGGCTCTGGACCCAGCACGCCCGGGCCACCCCCAGCAACAGAGCTCACTTGTTCTCCCTCATCTCGTGTTGCCTTCGCTCCATCAGGTTAGCCACGCTCTGGGGAAGGAACAGGTGAGTAGCCAGCACAGGTACTCTGAGGAACCCCACGTGGGGGACGTGGGCACACCTGGATCCTGGAGCAGGAAGGAGCTCTGCAGGGTCCACAACCAGGTGAGTCCCCAGTTCAGGTGTACTGGGGGGCACCAAGGGACCCTACGCTCCCCAAAAACCCAACAAGGCGGGGGGGACACACAGAGGACAGTGCTGCTGCCATGCCTGTGACATCAGGAAGGAGGGGGTTGTGACAACAGGACGTGGCACCTGTGGGACTGGGGGCTGCAGCATTTCCCTGGAGCAGAAGCAGGCAGCAGGGCCTGGATTCCCTGGGAATGAGTGCATGGATAGAGCAGGATCTGTGATATTTGGGGCCCAGCAGCTCCTTTGGATTCACCTTGTAGCATCTGTGAAGCAGCATCCGAGCAGCAGCCATCACGTTGACTGTGTACAGGTAAAAGGTGCGGGATGGAGCATGGTCTGGAGTCTTGGGAATCTCCTGTGGAGGGGCAGACATGGTGGGAACAGAATGGAGGAATCCCCTTCCCCAGAGGGGTCCCTGTCCTCCCTCCCCTGCAGGATTTAACCCTCCCCAAAGGCTTGCCCCTACAGAGATTCCAGGTGGGAATGCCCAGGAAGTGCCCAGAAGTGCCTGTCACCTGGAGAACTGCTACACCTGAGCAATCTCTGGGATCCCTGAGCTCCCTCACCTGTAGGGACACCAAATTCCCCAGGATCATGGAGCTCCCTCACCTGTAGGGACACCAGGTTCTCTGAGAGCATCCGGTAGAGCATGTCCTTGGCTTCCTTGGCTGGGATCATGGCAAAATCCTCCACCTGCTTCTGCTCCAGGTGCTTCTTACGCAGGAGCAGGCGAAATATCCTGGCACAACGGGAGCCAAACCTGTGCCAGGGGGAGAGGCAGTGAGGGAGGGACGGTGGGAAAGGGCTGTGGGGGGGACCCCAGGGCACTGCAGGTCCCCACATCACCTCTCCTCCACAATGGATTCCAGCGTGGCTGTGGCCAGCGACACCAGGGCCTTGTGCAGGTCTGCAGGGGATGAGGTTAAAGGAGAATTCCAGAGCTTGGGAATGATGGATGGATGAATAAATGAATGAATGGATGAATGGATGGATTAATGAATTAATTAATTAATGATTCTGGCCTGGGAACACAAAGGATACTGACGCTGTAGGTGCCCCCGCCGCTGTCCCCTGACTTCCCAACAAACTCCAGCTGCAGGGAGAGACAACAGGGAAAAGTTCAGGACATCCCCCTGAAGGAAGGAAAATAGGGATTTTTTTTTTTTTCCTTCAAATCTGGAGTGGGAAGAGTAAGGAGATTTTGGAGGGGAAAAAAAAATCTGGGACTTTAACTGCCTAAAAACATGGGCCAGGTCTTAGTGACTCTTCCAGGCACTTTTAAATATCTTTAACATCTCTTATATGTCCCCAGTGTCAGAATTTTAGGTAGCTTTAATGACTTCAAAATTACTTCAGTATTTTTTAAATAACTTTTGATATTTTTTAATATCTATAGTAGCTTTTACATATCTTTCCAGTACCATCGATATTTGTTAGCTAAGTTATATATCTGTTAAATAACTCGAGTATTTTTAAATAGCTTCAGCATCTGTTAAATATCTCCAATGTCTGTAAAATAAATTTAATACCTGATAAAAAAACTTCAGTATCCGTTCAATATCTTTCGTATCTGTTCAATAACCTTAAAAACTTTTGGTACCTGTTAAAAACCTTGCTTAACTCTCAGTGAAACGTTTTACCCTCAGACAGACAGAAAAACAACCAAGGAATCGTGGAACCAACATGGAAAAGCCCCGGGGTGTCCCCAGGCTCACCGGATCATCAGCCAGGAGTGCCAGGTACTGATCCAGCACCTGCTTCCCAATGTTGTATCCAGCTGGAAGAGCTCGGAATATCTACAGCAAAAAAAAAAAAAAAAAACAGGGAACATCAAGGGATTCCAAGGGGACACCAAACTTCCCAGGGGATTCCAAGGACCCACCTCATTGGAGGAGAGGGGCTGAGTGTGGGATGCACCCGAGGCTGTGGTCACCTCGCTCATGCGCAGCATCGTCCGCACCACCTCACTGCTGGTCTGGATTGGGGGGAAAAAAAAACAGGGATTGGAGTGGGAAGAGCTCAGTTCCAGAGTGGGAATGAAGAGCTCAGTTCCAGAGTGGGAAGAGCTCAGTTCCAGAGTGGGATGAGCTCAGTTCCAGAGTGGGAATGGAGAGCTCAGTTCCAGAGTGGGAATGGAGGTAAAGGCTCAGTTCCAGGGTGGGAAGAGCTCAGTTCCAGAGTGGGAATGGAGATAAGAGCTCAGTTCCAGAGTGGGAATGGAAGGAAGAGCTCAGTTCCAGAGTGGGAATGGAAGGAAGAGCTCAGTTCCAGAGTGGGAAGAGCTCAGTTCCAGAGTGGGATGAGCTCAGTTCCAGGGTGGGAATGGAGAGCTCAGTTCCAGAGTGGGAATGGAGAGAAGAGCTCAGTTCCAGAGTGGGAAGGGAAGGAAGAGCTCAGTTCCAGAGTGGGAATGGAGAGAAGAGCTCAGTTCCAGAGTGGGAAGGGAAGGAAGAGCTCAGTTCCAGAGTGGGAATGGAGAGCTCAGTTCCAGAGTGGGAATGAAGAGCTCAGTTCCAGGGTGGGAATGGGGATAAGAGCTCAGTTCCAGAGTGGGAATGGAGAGAAGAGCTCAGTTCCAGAGTGAGAATGGGGATAAGAGCTCAGTTCCAGAGTGGGAATGAAGAGCTCAGTTCCAGAGTGGGAATAGGGGGAAGAGCTCAGTTCCAGAGTGGGAATGAAGAGCTCAGTTCCAGAGTGAGAATGGGAATAAGAGCTCAGTTCCAGAGTGGGAATGGGGGGAAGAGCTCAGTTCCAGAGTGGGAATGGGGATAAGAGCTCAGTTCCAGAGTGGGAATGGAGGTAAAGGCTCAGTTCCAGGGTGGGAATGGAGGTAAAGGCTCAGTTCCAGGGTGGGAAGGGAGGTAAAGGCTCAGTTCCAGGGTGGGAATGGAGGTAAAGGCTCAGTTCCAGGGTGGGAATGGAGGTGGGAGCCACACACACCTGGTCCATCCTGCTGGCCACGGCACTGACCAGGGCCTGATCACGGAAATGCTGGTGAAAGCGCTCCAGGTTGACCTGCCAGTAAATGNCACACACCTGGTCCATCCTGCTGGCCACGGCACTGACCAGGGCCTGATCACGGAAATGCTGGTGAAAGCGCTCCAGGTTGACCTGCCAGTAAATGCCATCATCTGGGGGAGTCTGGGGGGGGACAAGGAACAAAAAGTGAGGGGAAAGGGGGCAGGAAAACAGATGGAAATGGGGCAAGAGACACAAAACTGAGAGGTGGGAGCCAGAAAAATGAGGAAAAGGGGACCACCAGAACATATTCCAGAATATGGATCCCACCCTTGCCATGTCCTGATTCCATCACTCCAGTACCTCTGAGTTTCCTCCCTCCTGCTTCTGCTTTTTGGCCTTGTGCTCCCTCTCCTCGTCCTCGTCACACGAGTGTCTCCTCTTCCCTTTCCCTGCCAACCCAAAACACTATTTCCCATCTAACCCATCACGACCCGTGGCTGCCCGAGGCTCCCCAGCTCCCGGGGGGGGGCTCTCACCGTGGAGGCTGAGCCGAGGCACGGTGTACATGTCCTTCTCTGCAATGGCCAGGGTTGGTGCAGGGGGTGGCGGTGCCTTGGTGTTCCTGGGGCTTTCTGGGGCAGTCGGGCACCTCTGGATGAAGTGGGTGTCTGCCAGGCGCACAAACGTGTTGGAAACTTCGCTGTAATCCATGGTTTTGCCATCTAGGAGGGAGGGGCACGCACAGTGGATGGATTTGGGATGTTGCCGAGGCTTTGGAGAATGTGGGAGTGTCATCCTCACTGCCATGGTGAGCACCCCATAAACCCTCTGGGATCACATTCACAAACCCAGTCCCAAATCCCTGGGTTTTTTAAGAAGCTTCCCACTCTCCACGGTCTCCATTAGCCTGTCCAAGCCCAGATCCTGGATGCTCCTGAGCCTCAGGAGGACACGGTGACACCGTGGCCACCACCCCAGCCTGGCTGTGAACACTCCACGGCGCCTCTGGTCCTATCCACCAACTAAACCCACTCCCAGATCCCTTTTTTTTTTTTGAGGGAGGAGCCTCCTTCCCACCTTCCATGGTTTCAGTGAGGCGATTAGCGACTCTGGCCACAGCAGAGCTCATGGGAAGGTGCCCGTGAAGCAGCAGCTCCTCCACCAGCAGCTCCCCCGGGTCCCCGTAGAGTGTCTTGGCCGTGTAGATGTAGCGGGGGTAACGCAGGATCCGCAGGATCCGCTCGCTCCGTGCCTCATATTCCACAGAGCCCCGGGGCTGCACCTCGTACCGCACCAGGTTGTGTTGGATTAGGACACAAAGGGCTTTTTTCACCTATGGGACAGAGCGGGAGAGTTGGACTCCGCCTTTTAAAGGGGATTTAAAGACCGGTCCCGCCCACCCAGAGTTTTCCTGGGTGTTCCCTCCCTGCCCAGATCTCAGTTTCCTTAAGGAGAATTAGAATTTTCCTGCCCCTTCAAAGATTAGTTTGTCAGGGAAATACAAAGCCACACACTCCATTAAAATCTTCCCCCCCGATTTATTAAAACTTCCTTGTCTTTCGCCAGGTTTTTCCACCAATCTGTCCCTGCTCCTGGACTCTATTCCAGCCTTTATTGGCTACAGAGCATTAGCGTCCCTCCTTCTTCCCAAATTAATCACTCAGAGACAGACGCACCTCCCACTCCTGATTTATTTCATTAAAAAACTCCCTTCTCCAGGTTTTCCTCCCAGTGTCCCCTCATCCCGCACCTGATCCGGGAGCAGCCCGGTGTCCCCCACCAGGAGCCGCAGCGGCCTCGGTCCCGTCCGGAGCAGAGAATTCCCGACTTTCTCCACGATTTCCCCGAAGTGCTCCTGGAGCAGGAGGGAGCAGAGCCGCAGCTCCGCCTGCGTCATTCCCGGCGGCTCCGGAATCCCAGGAATGTTAAAGAACAGCTGGGAGGACACAGAGGGCACAGATGCTGACACTGTTGCAGTGAATCCCCTCCCGGGGTGTAAGGGTCGGTCCGAAATCCCCTCGATTTTGCCTCCCGACCGTCCAAGGAGACCTCGAGGATCCCCACTCAGGTTGATTCCACACAGTGGTTTCCTGGCCTGGCCAGGTGGATGCTCTGACTGTGTGTTGGTGTATTTGGACTGTGCTGTCGTGACACCAACCAGAGATTGTGTTTTACCAACTGAGGACTGCTTGACCTCACCTGTCTCCTGCAGCACCACACAATGGTCCATAAACCTTCCCACCTCTTGGCCAGAAGCCACTCGCTTTGGAGAAGGACTATAAAGAGTGACCCCCTGAGATCTCCCACGGATGAAGACTCGTCTATGGGCTGGCCCGTGAGGACGCCCGTCTCGTCTGTTGGTAGCTATTTTCCCATCCCTTCCTTTCTTTCTCTCTCTCTCTACTTTACTACATCTCTCCCCTCTATCGTAACTGAATTGTTGGCATTTAACGAAATTATTTTGCCTCTTTGCACCTTTAAGATCAAAAGAGCCATCACGACCCCCGCTCTGCATTAAGAGCGGATGGTGACACGGGGGGAGGATCAGCCCTCACACAGAGACCCCCGTGTTCCCCACGGTGAGATTTCCCCCGCCGTGCCCTCCCACGAGCGGCACTCCCCGTCCCGTCAGGGATCCCGGTGTCCCCCCGGCTCTCACCGCCAGCTCCGGCCTGTCCCGCCACCGCCGCCACCACCATGACACCGGCCACGTTCTGTTCCCGCTTCCGGTGGCGTCACTTCCGCTGCCGCAGCCTCCCGGTTCCCATTGGGAGGCTTCCAGCAGGGGGCGTGCACTCCTCTCCATGGCGGGGGCCGCTCTATCCCGCTGCTCTGCGCTTTCCAGAGCGGACGCGGAGCAGAGGAGTTCCCGGAAGCGCGGGGCCTCTCTGGGCCGCTCTCGCTGCCCTGGGAGGAGTGACGGCAGTGGCGGCAGTGGGGAAGATGGCGGAGGCGGCGGCGGCGGCGGTGCCGCAGCACCGTTTCTTTTGCCACAGCTGCAAGGGCGAGGTCAGCCCCAAGCTGCCGGTGAGCCCCGGGTAGGGAGGGTAGGAGAGGGGGAACCCCGAGCTGCCGGTGAGCCCCGGGCGGGGAGGACCGGGACGGGGAGCCCCGAGCTGCCGGTGAGCCCCGGGCGGGTGTAGGGGCAATGGTGATCCCCCAGTGACTCCCTGAGCCCCCTAAGGAAATTGTTCCCACATGGAATCCTCCATCCCAGTTCTCAGACTGGAAGGGGACTGGGGGAAATCTCCTGTTCCTCATGGAAGCAGATAATCCCATTCCCATCCCTCTCCATGGGCAGCCAGCCTTTGCAGCGTCTGCTCGTCCGACAGGGTAGGAATTGTCCCTCTACTCCTAAATTATCCCAGTTCCTGCTCCTTGGATCTGGGAGCATCCCAAATTTTTCTTTATCCCACGCCGAAGGATCCATTTTTCCCTCCAACATTCCCAAACCCACTTTTTCAAAGGAAGCATCGTCCAGCTCTCACTCCAACCCCTCCATCCCCAAAAACTGAACTTTCCTGGTGCCTTCATCACGTTCCTGGTTTATCCTGGGAGGAAAACTCCGTCCCTGCTCCCGGGGAAGCACCAGGGAAACACCTAAAATTTCATTTCTTGGGATAATCCCCTGGGTTTTGCTCCAGGAACTCTCCAGATTCCTGGCACTGGGGGAACGTGGCCCTGTGGCTCTGCCCACGGACCCCAGTGGGAGCTGCTTCCCGTGGATTTGTCCTTGGAGGACACCGACCCAAAAGGTGTTGAATTTTTGGCTCAAAATTCCTTGGTTTGGGTCATTGAAAAGGGGATTGAGGATTAGGGATGAGGGCATGGAAAAGGAGACATTGCCAAGCAGAATTTCTGCACTTGCCAAGGCCAGAGGTGATGATGTTGGGTTGGAGAATCCCCATCCTCCAGGAAATCATCTGGAGATTTTTTTTTGCCTCTTTTTTTCCCAACCACGTGGTGGAAGGAGGGTCTTGCCACGCCAAAATCCCCGTGGAATGAGAAGTGGAGCCTTGGACGTGCCAGGGAGATTTTTTTTTAATTTTTTTTTTTTAATTTTCCGAGTGAGGAATGTGTGGATGGCAGGAGGGACGTGGAATTCCACAAGGTGTAAATTGGTGGAGAAACTGAATTATTCTGACTGGAGACAAGGGAAAGGAGGAAATTCAAATTGGGATTAGAGCTATGGAGGAGCTGGTGGGTGCAGCAAGAGCCGAGGAAAACTTCTGCACGCTTTTCTTTGGGATTCCACTTTCCATCTTTCCATAATTTTTGGGGTAGGGATCACCTGGAAAAACACCTGATCCAACTTTCCTGCCCGGATTTGGGATCAAATCCAAGGCTGGCCGTGGATGTGCCACGGAGCTGCAGCTGCCTCAGGAATGATCTGAGAACAATCCTGGTGGGATTCTGGTTCGTTTTCCTTCTGGGAATCACAGAGCACAAGGCTGGAGGGGAGACAGAACCAGGAGATTCCTTGGGAAAAATCTGCTTTTCTTTGTCCTATGGCTTAGAGAATGAGATCCCTGTGAAGATCCCAGGATGGGAGCACCCGGGAGGCTCCAGGATCATCCCCTGCATCCCTAAAACATTTCAGGGAAAAGCAAGGAGCTGATTGAAAGGCTCTGCAGGATCCCACACACCATCTGTTCCCATTCCCCTTCTCCCTCCTTCCAGAGCTATTTATCCCAAATGCCATTTTTATCTCTCTCCAGCTACTGGGTGGGAAGCTGAGAGTTTCCATATGGAACTCCCAACTGGGAAAAAAAAATATATATATATATATATTCCAAAGCTTCCAGGAATGTATAAGCATTCCACCTGCTGCTGTTGATCCAGGATTTGGATTTGGAGTTCCCACAAAATCCAGAAGTGATTTTGGGAACAGGATGAAAGATTTTTTTTTTATTATTATTATTTTTTATTTTTTTTTCCAGGGATTTGGGAAGCATGGGTGAAGGGAAGAATCTTCTAATCCCGAGGGATTGGTTCTGGATGAGGATCTCACAAAAATCGTGGGGTTTGGGAAGGCTCTGACTGCAGGATGGGATCTGGACAGGGAATATCCATGAGAGAGGATCTTTGGAGTCTTTTTTTGGGTTTTTTTTTTCCATGGTTTTCTCTGAATCAAAGCCAATCTGGGACAAAACTCTGGGAATAGGATCAGGGACAATTTTTCTTCATGGAAGGGATTTTCTTCAATTCTGCAGATCCCACCAACACATTTTTTGTTTTCTGGTACCCAAATCCCACGGGATTAAATTTTGTGGTGATTTTATGAGCTGCTCGAGATCTAGGATTGGGAAACTTCCTGAAAAGAGGGGTTTTTTTGTTTTTTTTTTCTTTAGAATTCCAAAAATTTCGTGTCTAATCCCAGCTCCCTTTTGTCTTCCCAGGAATACACCTGCCCCCGCTGTGAGTCTGGCTTCATCGAGGAAGTCACTGATGATTCCAGGTACCTGAGAATCCAGGGAAATTCAATGTCCAGGCATGTGGAAAGACAATGGATCAAGTAATAAGGAAATTTAGTGTGAAAAATGCAATTTTTGCTCTTTTTGGAAGTATTTTTTCCTTCTTTTTTTTTTTTTTTGTTTGTTTGTTTTTTGTAGAAGAAAAGCATTTTTTGGTCTTCTTGATATTTTTACACTTTTTGGTGTTTTTTTACTCCTTTTGTCTTGTTTTTTTTTTCTCTTTTTGATCTTTTTCTTACCTTTTTTAGTATTTAGGGGGAAAAAAAAATTACTATTTTTGGGTGTTCGCCCTTTGTTGTTTTTTTTATTATTTTTTATTTTTACCTTTTGTTGGATTGTTTTATTTTACACCTTCTGGGGAGATTTCAGGAAACAAAGTGGGGGGAATTTAGGAAGCACAGAGGGATTTTGGGAATGGGCCCTGCCCTCACTCTCCTCTTTTTCCCCAGTTTTTTTGATGGCAATGCCCTGGATGACAGCCCCTCCTCACAGTTTGCAGAGGTGAGTTTTCCTGCTTTTTCCTCTTCTTCTGTGGCATCTTCCTTTTCCTGAGAGTTTGAACAATTTGGGGGAGTTTTCCAGGAGATAGAAAATTGCCATTTCCTATAAAACCCATAGGAAATCCATTCAATCCTGGGTCAGAAATGGATCCACCAAAACAGTCAGAATTCCAATCTGTTCCCAATCTGGATCCTTCACTGTTTGCACCCAGATGGGTCCCTCCCCCTCTTCATCTGGATCCATTTATCCAAATTATTGCTTGGATATCAGTTCACATCCCCAGAAATTTCAGGGAGATCCTGATCCCATCTTCCTGCCTGTGGAGCTTTAAGCTCCATAAATTAAACTGGATTTGGAGGTGAATAATGGTTGGCAGTTGTCCCCAGGGGTGTAGTTGCAGGCAAAGCTCCCATCAGAGCAGCAGGAAAACTGAGGATTTTATACGTGGGTTTTTATTTTTTAATCCAAATGGATTTGTGGGAGAGGGTCTCTGTGGGGTCTCCAGATTTTTGGGAGACCCATGGGTCATTCAGGGAGGTAAATCAAGGAGCAGGTGGGGATTTAGCCCCATGGGATGCACTGCAGGGGCAAAGGGAATGGCATTATCCACACGGACAGATCCCACAAAAGAGCAGTGTGCGATTGGGTGACACTTTGGGATGCTCCTGGGGACACTCCCCAGGGATCTGGATGCCACCCTGCTGTCCTTGAGTACCCACATCCTCCCCGGGGCATGTGAGTGATCCCATGGTCCAGCATTTTCCCTCCTCCAATTCCAGCCCTTGAAGAGAGGGAGCTTTCCACATTTACTGGGGAGTTTTACTGGGAGTGCTGCAGCAACTCTGCATCCACTTGGGCTATAATTAAACCTTTTTACCAGACTTTTTTTTTTTTTTTTCCCCCCCGGATCCGTGACAACAACGGGAATAAACTCCAGCGAAATGGATGGGACGAGCCCCGGCGATCACATCTCCCCCAATCTCCCATCTCCCCTCCCCTTCTCCACAGCTTTGGGACCACTTGGATCACACGATGTTCTTCCCGGATTTCCGACCATTCCTGAGCAGCAATTCCCTGGATCCAGAGGGTCGGGATGTGGAGAGGGGCCCCCCAGCCGAGCTCTGGGGTCCCAGTCGCCCCCCGCGGCTTCCGATGCCTCGCAGGTACCGGTCCCGAGGCAGCTCCCGACCCGATCGCTCGCCTGCCATCGAGGGGTGAGTGACTTCTCCTGGGGAAAGCTGGAGAAAATTGGGAGTTGGGTGCCTTCCCCTGGCAGAAAATGGGGTGTTGGGTGCCTTCCCCGGGGAGAAAATGGGGTGTTGGGTGTTAGAAAGTCAAGAGTTTCTCCGAATCCTTCAGGGAGAGATGAGAGTGCAGGGATTGAGTTGAAAGCTTGAGATGGATTGAAGTATGGCAGAGGTTGTAACATAAGAGAGAGAAAATGAGTGAATGGAATGAGTTTTAAGTGTTTTTAGTGAGGAAAAGGTCTTAGATGCCTGAGAAGTTGTACATGTTGTAGTGAAGGTTGAAAAACATATTAGTGTTTCCTTGGAGGCTCCAAGAACTTTAGACATAATAAAGTTAGAGTTAAGAATATTGCTGACATTTCTCAGTTAGAACAAGATAGGCCATGAACATAGTCTGCACATAGTCTGGCATGCTAAGAAACTAAAATTCCAATAGGTTAAGGAATAGTGGTCTGAGTTTTTGTTTTAGCTGGTTGGAAAGTTTCTATAAAAGAACATTCATCAGGGAGAGCTGGGGCTCTGTGCCATGGCTTTATCCACCTGCATTTTGCCACTGCAGCTTTGCCATTGCTTTTATGCCATTGCTTTGCTTTGTTTTCGTTTTTGCTTCTGCAATAAATAACTTTACAGCAACTGTTAGCTGCTTGGCTTTTTACACAAAAGAAGAAGAAGCCTGACAGTGTGGGTGCACAAGAGGCACCCAGGGGTTCCCCAAAACCTCACAGTGGGGTCCTGTCACTTTCTGTCAGCCCCCTTAGCACAGTTCTGAGCTCTGTCTGCCTGCAACACAGCACTCACATCCCAGGATGAGTTCCCATCCCTAATTCCTTTTTGTTCTCCCTCTGTTTTGGGGTTTTATCCACGAAATTTCCAGCTGTGAGCCCTGTGCCCATGGGAAAAGGATTCTCTGTTTTATTGCCTGTTCCTTCTGCCACCGTTTATTTATTTATTTATTTATTTGGCTTGTCCTTTCCATGTTTTTCCTTGGTTTTCCCTGTCCCACTACCAACTCTTCCATTGGAACTCAAGGCATTCCCATTTCTGGGATGAGCTCATATCTCGAATTCCTTCCTGCTGTCTCTCTCTGTTTTGGAGCTTTATCCAGGGATTTTTACAGTTGTGAGCCATGTAGTCAGGCATCCATAGAGCAGGAATTCCTGGTTTTCCTGCCCATCCTTTCTTCCACCATTTATTTACTTACTTAACTTGTTCTTCCCGTGTTTTTGTTTTGTTTTGTTTTGTTTTGTTTTTTATTTTTTCCCCCATGCCTCCTTCTTCAGGATAATTCAGCAAATCTTTGCTGGTTTTTTTGCCAACTCAGCCGTTCCTGGTTCCCAACATCCCTTTTCCTGGTGAGTAGCCCAGATTCCACCAGTAACCCAGCAGCCAGGGGCTGGTTTGGGATTTGGGGGGGGAATTCCTGGACTCTCCCGTTGGCAGGAGCGGGATGCTTCACTCCAACCCCGGGGATTACGCGTGGGGACAGAGCGGCCTTGACGCCATCGTCACTCAGGTGAGGGGCACCTGTGCTGGGGGCAGACCCGGTGGCAGGTCCCTGCTCCTGAGCATGGAAATTTTTTTTTTTTTTCCTCCCCTCTCTCCACAGCTCCTGGGACAGCTGGAAAACACAGGGCCACCACCAGCAGACAAGGAGAAGATCTCATCGCTCCCAACAGTGGCTGTGACGCAAGAGCAAGTCGGTGGGTGACTCCATCCCTGGATCTGGTGGCACTTGGATCTTGGTGTTTGACATCCTGAGCTCCCCCATGAGCATTTTGTTCCCCCTGGGATTGGGCTGGAAGCTCTCAGCTCCCAAGCTTTGCTGCTGCCATCTCTGGTGTTCAGTTCTCCAGAACGTTTGGGGAGTCCTAGAGTGTGCCTTGAAGAGTTCTGACTCTTCCCATCCCCACGATGGTTTTTTCCCCCATCCCAAATCCCTGTTGGTGCTCTCAACTCATCCCTTCCCTTTCAAACTGGCTCTCAACATACTCTGCTCTGGAAACATCATGGAAAACTGCCAGCAGGGCCCTGGGGGTTTCTTGGAATTAAAAAACCCCGTGAATTTTTCACCCTAAGGATCCCTCCCAGCTGCTCTGGTTACCAGAACCTTACACCTCCATTATGATTAAACCAGAACAGTTCTATGCAGGATATTTTTATCCCGTGGTTTTGCACACCTGTGTGTCCTCCTCTCCTCTGGGAAGCCAAGGACTTGCTGGAATTCCATTGTGTCAGAGCCCACAGAGCCCAGGCAGGCTTGGAATCATGAAATCTTGGAATATCCGAGTTGGAAGGGATCCCTGGAATTGCCCAAGGAGGTGACCTCCTGGCAGTGTCTGTGTCAGCATCATGAGCTTGGAACAGAGGGAGAGGGAGTGGGAATTCAGCCACCTCCTGTGGCTGGTGACAGCCAGCATTGGGATCATCATCCCATATTCCAGGCTGGGAAATTGTGGCGAGCATCCAAACATCCTCACTTTGATTTTTGTTTGTTCGTGGTTATGTAGAGAGAACATTAGGAATTCCTAATATTTTTATATAGGGATTGTGTGTGGATGGATGAATCCTTGCTGGTGGAGCTCCAGAGCTCGTGTTCCCAGCAGGAATTCTTTGGATGCTCCATCCAGGATCAGATCCTAGACTGCAAATCCCGTGGGATTCCATTGAATGCTTGAATGCTCCATCCCCAGAGGATTTTGTGTGGATGGATGGTTGGATGGATGGATGAAGGATGGATGGATGAAGGATGGATGGATGGATGGATGGATGGATGGATGGATGGATGGATGGATGGATGGATGGATGGATGGATCCTGGCAGGAATTCCTTGATCCCTGGATGTTCCACCTCCAGCAGACACAAATGACCTGTAACTCCCAGAGCTCCCGTTCCTGCTGGGATCCCTTTGATCCCTGGACACCTCATTCCCAGTAGACCCAAGTGACTCCCAGGAGCTTTTACTCCTGTCCTGTCCCCTGACCTGCCATTCCCTGTTTTCCACAGACACAGGGCTGGAATGCCCGGTGTGCAAGGAGGATTACACCGTGGCAGAGCAGGTCCGGCAGCTCCCTTGCAACCACGTCTTCCACAGCAGCTGCATCGTGCCCTGGCTGGAGCTGGTGAGATCCCAGAAAATTCATGTAATCAATCCCACAGGATAATTCCCCCTTTCCAGGATAAACATCTCTGTGTGTTTTTGTGTTCCCCACAGCACGATACGTGTCCCGTCTGCAGGAAGAGCCTAAAGGGGGAAGATTCCACCCGGCAAATGGCGAATCCCGACGCTTCCGACAGCCCAGTGCAGGAGAGATGGACTTTCTGACCTTTTCCTGAAAGGTTTCTGCAGCGCTCCCAGAGGGTTTCCAAAAGCCAGAGCATCCCTGCTCGAGGTGTCCATTGAGAATTCCAACAAATCCCACCCCCCCCACCCCACCCTCACCCCCCCACCCCGCCAAATAGCAGGAATTAGGGGGCCCCACCTTGTGGGAATCACAGCACCAAGCGCTCTTCTCCTAGGAATTTATCCTTCTGCTCCATGGAATTGCCTCGTTGGTCCTAAATTGGGAATTTTTGGGAGTGATTTGATTTCATTTTGTATCAGAAAAAGTGTTTTGTTTTTGTTTTTGGTTTTTTTTTTCCAGTGGGGCACGGTCTGGAGAGGGGTTTCAAGTCCCTCGTAGCTTTCTCTGGAAAAAGGTTGGGATAAAAAGGGGATTTTTTTGGAATCTTCCTACACTCCAGGAGATTGGAATTGTATCCACGAGAGATTTTATTGCCCCATTTTGGATGGAATCCTTGGGGTCTATAAAATCATGGCAGGTGGAAGAAGGAAGGCTCTGGAGCTCTTCCTTAGGGGGGGTTGGAGCCTCAGGAGCCCCCACGGTCCTGGAAAGGCTCTGGGAACGCTGTGGTATCAGGAATGCACTGAGCAGGATTTTGTCTCATCCTGGACTATTTTTGGGGTTGATTCGGGTTTTTCTGACCCTTTTCCACATGCCTGTGGCCCCAGGTGTGTCCAAACCTCCCTCTGCCCCCATGAGTCATTCCAGGCAGGAATTGTGGACCACTCCCTTGGGAATCCCCCTGCCCTCCCCCATAAGTTAAGGAAACTCTTTATTTTTTTTTTTTTTCCCGATTCTTTGGTTGTTTTGAGATTTTTTTTTTTCTTTTTCCCCGTTTCTGTGAACTTTTTTCCAGGTCTGAATCCTGGGAGTTACCCTCGTACTCGTGGTATCCACTGACTGCCCTAGGGGGACACTGTGGGGGCGACGTTCCCAAACCCCTTGGGCTCAGTGGCTCCACTTCGATTTAATTCCTGATTTTCTTTGCTCTTCCGTCCAATAAAGGCCTTTCTCAATGAATTCCACTCCCCAAGTCATCCTTGGAGCTGGGAAAGGGAGGCAGGAGCTGGAGTATTCCCAGGGCATGGTGTGCAGAAATGAGCTCGGGAAAAGCTTTTGGGGAAAGGAAAAACCCTGATTTGCAATATTTGTTTCCTAGGGTGGATATCCTAAGGCCTCCCACTCTGTTGGGACACATTTTCCTCCCTCCCTGCTCTGCTGGAATCCATTCTGGACACCCCCCAGTCCTAGGGCAGGACTGTGGATCCACAGAGATTGGGAAAATCCAGCTGGATCCTGATTTTAATCCCAGTGCTTTTCTCTGTTATCCATCACGTCCCTCGATGGGGGTTTCTGAGGGGTCACACCCACTCATTCTTCCCTCTTCCACATAGTGCTGGAAATCAGGAATTCCTTCCCTGTGGTCCAGGATTTAAGCGAGATTTAAATCCAGAGCCAGCTGAAGCTGGGTTTTGGATCTCCCCCATCCCTCTGAGTCGTATTTGGCATCAATCCAGAGGGTTTTTGTTGAATCAGGCAGCATCCCTGCTCCCAGATCATCTGCATGCACAGGGATGCAGGACACGGCAGTACCACAGGCCAGAGCTTTATTGCTGCTCCATTCCAGGTCATTCCCAATTTTTCCCACTTCCAGATGTTGTCCCAGATCCTCCGGCTCCACCCTGGGGGGGCTCCACCCTGGGGGGCTCCACCCTGGGGGGCTGATGCCTTTGCCAGCCCAGGAGTCCCCTGGGATGGCCCTGGAATGTGTCCCCAGAGGGAGATCCCGGCACGTCCTCTCCTGCCACCTCAGTGCTCCTCATCCTCCTCCTCCTCCTCTTCCTCCTCCTCCTCCCGGGGGGGCTCCCGGTGGGAGAAGAATCCCAGCTGGGGAGGAAGAGGAGGGATTGAGGGGGGGTGGGAAACGGACATCTTCCCCTCGGGATGACATCGTGACCCCCCCCTCCAGTGGCATCTGAAGCCTCGCCAAGGTGACACGGTGACCTCCTCACCCTCCAGAGGCCGAGGCTGAGCAGCATTAGGAGCAGGAGCCCCCCCAGGGCACTGCCCCCCAGGATCCACAGGGACACGGGCACCTGCCTTCCCTGGAGCACTTCCAGCACCAGCTGCAGGAACACGGGGAGTGGTGAGAGGAATGAGAATTCGGGGGAGAAAAACAAGGGTAGGGGTGACGGGGGGGAAAAGGGGAATTTGGGGAGGGAAATGATTTGGGTGGAAAGAAGGAATTTGGAAAGAAAAGCGAGGATTAGAGGGGAAACGGGGATTGGGGTGGGGGGAATGGGCAGTGAGGGAGAACAGGGAATTTTTGGGGGAGGGAAATAAGGATGAAAATGGGGAACTGGGGGGGGTGGGAGGTCTTACCTCCCTGCGCTGTGCCCCCTCCTCCAGCACCAACATCTCCCCCACGACCCCTAGCCAGACACTGCTGACTATCCTCACACTCCGGAATTTCACCTGGATATGGGAAAAGGGAGGTTCTGAGCCACGTGTGCCCCTCACCCAGGATCCTCCCTGGAGCAGGGGGGGTCCCCCTAATTCCCTGCACGCCTCCCCTTTGCTCACTCTGCTGAAGAAGCTGTCGTGGAGGGTGCGCAGGAGCTGGATGGAAACTCCCTCGCTACGCTCCAGCCTCCCCAGGTGGCAGCTCAGCTCCTGGCACCAGGTGTTGGAACAGTCCTAGGGAGGCAAAAATTGGGGGGGGGAAATTGGTGGGGATCCCCCTGAACCTTCCAAATCCGTGGGGGAATGGGGTGGGCACGGTGATCCCTACCAGCCTGTCCACGTGCAGCAGGTCCTGGGGGGCCACCGGGACCACCTGTGTCCCCTCATTGGGGGGTTGCAGCGTGCAGGTGGCCTGGGGAGGGGGCGAGGATGTTCAAAAAGAGGCCACAAGGATCTCCCCGAGGTCCCCTGCGTGTCCCCAATACTCACATTTTCAGCCAGAACACGAGTCACAGACAGGATGGTTGCCCGATGGTCGCCCAGTGCTGGCAGGGCCATGTGCAGGGTGATGTTCTGGATGGGGTAGCACCCCAAATTCTGCACCTGGATGGGTGCACGATGAGCCAGGGTTCCCCAGGGCCCCGTTCCCCAGGTTCTCATCATCTCACCTTGACCGTGGTGGTGAACTCGGGGCCAGAGCTGTGGCTCAAGGTGCCAAGGGGATGAACCTCGTAGCGATGCAGGTTGGTGTTACTGGGGAGGCACACGGGGGTCGCATCCATCGTCTGTGTCCCCCTCCATGACCCCCCACCCCCCGACTCTGCCTCACGTTGTCCCAGCCCCACCTGGACAGGAACAGGTTGGGCTCATAGCGGATGGGGACAGAAATCTTGACCACGTTGTCCCGTGGTGTCGCCTCGGTGCTGTCACTAGACAGAGGGGACACTTGGGAATATCCCCAGACCCCACCCATGCTGTGGCCCCTCCTCCGAGGGTCCAGCACTCCCCCCACCCCCCTACCTGGTGGCCTCAAGCGTGACTTCGGCACGGTCCAGAAGGACGGAGCAGCTGAACTCCAGCTCCAATTTGAAGGACACCTGGGGGATGGGGGGGGGCTCAGAGGGGTGTGGTGGGGGTTTTGGGGGTCCCAAGGGGCTCACGGGGGTCTCGGGGGGGTCCTACCTTGGCCTGAGAGGGGAAGACAGGATAGCCCACACTGCAACGCCGCCGGTGCCCGCCCAGGGCTGAGCACTCCAACTTCACCGTGTTGGGATCCTGCCAGGGGGACAAATTGGGCACCAGGACGTGGAGCTGAGCCACTCGGGGGCACTGGGAGGTGGCAGCAATAGATTCCCCCCCACAGGGGGATGCTGGGGACCAGGAAACACAATCTGCCACTTGGGAGGAGTTGGGGACACGATGGACCTCCATGGGCCACACGGAATAGGCTGGGGACACTGTGGACCCCCAGCTCCACTTGAAATGGGTTTGGGGACTCAATGGGACAAGAATGACCTAGAGGTTCTCCAAAGACCTGGTGGGAGAGTTTGGAGGGGCTCCTCAGGATTTGGGCCGCCCCCAGGCTGTACCTGGAGCACGAGGCTGGAGAAGTGGAGGTTCCTGGGCAGGTGCAGCCACAGGCTGGCGTTGTAGGCGTTCTCCTCCCGGTTCTCCAGCTCCACCTCCACCAGCATCCTCCTCCGGCCTTTACGCAGGATGTGGGGGCTCTGCCTGGAGGCCAAGGGGGTCACAGGAGGCTCCTGGGATCTCAGGGACACCATGAGGACACTGGGGGGACACCAGGGGTACCTGGAGCCCACGATGTCTGTGGTGGCCTTGAGCGCCAGGTCGGTGACGCACTCATCGTCGTCGCCGCAATCCTTGAAAAATGGGATCTGGAAGGAGCCAGGAGTGATCCTGGTGTTCAGGGGTGATCCCAGTGTCCGGAAACATCCCTCCCAGTACACACCAGTTTGCGGATAGTGGTGGGAGATGCCTCATCCAGCACCAACCTCGCAGCCACATCCAGGGCCCAGGTGAGGCTGAGGCTGAGGGGCCGCAGGTAATCTGAGGTGTCCTGCAGAATCAGGGGATCCCATCAGCCTCGTTCCAATCGCACCCCAGAAACGGGGCAGGAAGGAGCTCTTGGGGCTGACCAGGACGTGGAAGGGGATGCGGATGCAGCTCTGCCTTCCCAGCGGGATCTCGATTCGGCGCTGCAGCAGCCGCCGGGCGCCGGAGTCAAAGGCAGCTCGGGATTTCGGGACCCGCTCCTCCAGGGATACGTTGTACCGGAGATCTGGGGGATAGGGAGCGGGTCAGGGACCGAGTGTCCCCCAGTGAGACTCCAGGGAATTCCGGGAACGCTCCAGGGACGTGCTGGGTTGCACAAACTGGGGCCAGGGAAGGCTCAGAGGCTCTCCAGGATGTTGTGGCAGGTTCCAGCGGAGCTCCAAGGATATGGGTGCTCTGTTGGTATTCAAGGAACGCTGCAGGATGCTCCTGAGAGATTCCAGGGCTACCCTGGGATGCTCCAGGGGTGGTCCAGGATCACCAGATATACGCTCTGGAAAGATTAAGGGAATGCCC